CCGTCCACCCCCCGCGGGAGAGCAGCGCCTGCCAAGGTGGCACCTGCCCGGTGACGTGGGTGGCGCAGGTGGAGAGGGGGAGGTGGCAGGGGGGGCTCCGCGCCCCGGTGATGGTGTCGTGTCCATGTCCCATGTGTCCACATCATGTCCCAAGTCCCATATCTATGTCCTGTGTCTCATGTCCCACATTGTGTCTGTGTCCCACGTCCATGTGTCCTATGTCCATGTGTCCTGTGTCCCATGTTGTGTCCATGTGTCCCATGTCCATGTCCCGTGTCCATGTCCCATGTCCATGTCCCACGTCCTGTGTCCCATGTCCATGTGTCCAATGTCCTGTGTCCATGTCCCCCCCCAGATCTTCGAGGCGACGGTGGACAACGCCCGCACGGTGCTGCAGATCGACAACGCCCGTCTGGCAGCCGATGACTTCAGGATCAAGTGAGGGACAGGGGCACAGGGATGGGGATGGGATGGGATGGGGTGGGGACAGGAATGGGATGGGGACAGGGATGGCAATGGGATGGGGATGGGGATGGGGACAGGGATGGGGACAGGGATGAGGATGGGGACAGGGATGGGATGGGGATGGGGATGGGAATGGGATGGTGTTGGGTTGGGTTGGAGATGACGATGAGGATGGGGATAGGAAGGGGATGGGGATGGGGACAGGGACAAAGGATGGAAACAGAAGTCGGAATGGGGATGGGGTGGGGACAGAGTGAAGATGGGGACAAGAACAGGGATATGGACAGGGATGGGATGGGTTTGGGATGAGGTTGGAGATGGCGATGAGGATGGGGAGGGGATGGGGTTAGGGACAGGGACAAGGATGGGGATGTGATGGGATGGGATGGGGTTGGGTTGGAGATGGAGATGAGGATGAAGATGGGGACAGGGATGGAGGTGGCCATAGGGACAGGACAGGGATAAGAACATAAATGGGGATAAGGATGGGATGGGGTTGGATTGGATGGGGTTGGAGATGGAGATGAGGATGAAGATGGGGACAGAGGTGGGCTTGGGGATAGGGATGGAGGTGGCAATGGGGACAGGACAGGGATAAGAACATAGATGGGGATAAGGATGGGATGGGGTTGGGTTGAGATGTGGTTGGAAATGGAGATGAGGATGGGGACAAGGGATGGGATGGGTTTGGAGATGAAGATGAGGATGGGAAGGGGATGGGGACGGGATGGGATTGGATTGGGTTGCAGATGGCTGGAATGAGAGATGGAGATGGAGATGGAGATGGAGATGGAGATGGAGATGGAGATGAGGATGGGATGAGGTGGGGTTGGGGATGGGGTTGCAGATGGAGATGGAGATGGGGATGGGATGGGGATGAGGATGGCATGGGATGGGATTGGATGGGGTTGGAAATGGAGATGAGGATGAGGTTAGGGATGGGGACAACGATGGGGCAGGGATGGGATGAGGTGGGGCTGGGGCTGGGGTTGGGGATGGGGCTGAGGATGGGGATGGCGATGGGGCACAGATGGGGACAAGGCCAGCACCACTCAGCACCGCTGCCCCCAGGCTCGAGGCCGAGCTGGCCATCCGCCTGTCGGTGGAGAACGACATCGCGGGGCTGCGCAAGGTGATCGACGACACCAACATGGCGCGCATGCAGCTGGAGGGGGAGATCGAGGCCCTCAAGGAGGAGCTCATCTTCATGAAGAAGAACCACGAGGAGGTGACGATGGGGCCTGGGGGGGGGGCATTGGGGGGTGGGGGGG